TGAGTGCAAGTGAGGGTGGGAGTCACTGGGAAGAAGCTACTCACCTTCATGGTGCCCAGGGAACATAGAAAGAGGAGCCTAGGATACGACATAGCCACAAGGCCACCCCTCCAGTAATTTGCTCCCCTAAATCTAGGCCTCATCTCATTCAAGAACCTTCCAAAATAGCACCACTAGCTGGGGGACCTTAGCAGAGGACTCCATACCCAAACCTAACCCCATCTTCTACAGAACCTTATTTTCATGGTTTGCAGATGAGCTAAGGGCTCAGGTCTTCACCTTCTTCAGCCCCTAAGTGCTGGCTCGCTCTCTCTCTCTCTCTCTCTCTCTCTCTCTCTCTCTCTGCCTTCTTTACTAGAGTGAGCTTCCTAATCAGCAAATTTTATTGTATTTCTTTCTTTAGCTAAATACTTTTGATGACTTCCCAATCTTTCAAATGAAAACTTAAATTGCCCATAAGCCTCTCCACCATCTTGCCTTAGACTGACCTTGTAACTTGTCATCTAGTTACTATAAAGCAAGTCAACACAAACTAATCAGCCACCATGCATCACTTGCATACATTAACTGGAGAGGGATGACCTGTTCCTCCCTTGTCTGACAAATGCATACTTTGGGTTCATCACCAATATCATTTGCTCTTTCCCAGCCCTCATGACTCTATTGGCACAGCCATGTAGACTTGGTCACTACTGTCACACACAAGTATGTATGTATGTGTATGCATACATACGCATATATAATAATGTCATATCAATGTGTTTAGAACATGGCTCAATATGATGAATCCAATATATACATAGTAGGTGAATGTTTCTCATCTTCCAAACAAGGAAGCTGATATTTGCAGAGGCTAAATAATTTGTATAAAGTCACATGGTATAACCAACATTAAAACCTAGGATGGACTCTGAAACACATGGTATGTTGTTGAATAGATGGACATCTGCAAGATCACTTTGGTAATGACTTCAACCTACCACATTAAATCAGGATAATGAACTGCACACAGTCCACAGAAAACTCACTGTTGCCAACTACTTATGAGGCCTAGCTTGCTCAGCAGTGTGGGTTATTCAGACCATGGCAGTGCAGGAGGAACCTCCTGGACTAATCTAAGGTTCTTAACCTTTGACAAAATGGCTTTTCGTTCTTACAACAGGTCAGTGTTCTTTTTTTATAGGTGTTATGATAACTGTTTGAAGGCAACAGAGCCTGGTACCAGTTGAAGTAGGCCTAGGGCATTCTTTTATTACTAACTATTGTTTATCATCACCATCGACATCATTATTACCTAAGCCATTCTATTTAGTTTATTTCTGAGTCAGAGTAGTAGGCCAAGTGGAAGTGGATGCTGGGTAGACACGGACTGGATGAAACGCCACAGGCTGTGCAGAGTAAAAGCGTATCCTAGTCTATGAAAAGCAAACCACAACTGCCACTGCTTGTCTAATCCCAAGGACAGCCACAGTAAGATTCTTCCCAGCAATGCAGCACCAGCTGACTAGTTGCTAAGTGCACGACTGAAGTGAAAATTATGATTCAAAATAAAATGTGAGACTCCTCAAGCCTTTACTTTAACTGTGAGAGGTCTTACTAACTGATTAGCACCAAGGACGGTTATGGAAATCAGAGGACCAGGATGTTTCTTAGTCCTCTTGGCTGGATAACATTTTTGTTTTGTTTTTTTCTAAATCAGGTGAGCTAAGTATACAATTTCCAGTAATTCATTTATTCCGCAAAATATCCAAAGTGACTTAAGGGACACTAAACAAACACATTAAAAACAGCGACAACAATAACAGAGTAACAAAAAGTGCAAGTCTAGTGTGACGTTTTTCCATTTAAAGAGATAACTCCCTTTAATGCCATTGGTCCGTGCTCTGCACCAAAGAGTACTTTGATGCTTAAAACAAACACATAAAACAAGTTTGACGGTGAAATAGCCACATGACATGGTCGTAAAGAGTATGGGTTAGTGGAATAAGACAGGTCAATGGGAAGCAGAAGGATTTCTCACACCAATTACTAACATGCCCCTCCCTCAGTCATCACCCTTTCAGCTCTTTTCTGGGGGGTAAGAAGGGGAGGGATTGCTTTAGACTTTGTACAATCCAGGGTTTGTATGAATATTGATAAATTAGGAGTTTGGCGATCAAATTAGAATGTTGTTAAAGTATCAATGCTTTACAGGAGCTTCATTCTTGCTGGAGTCCACCTAGCCATTCTGTGTTCCATCCTCTAGAGAGAACAGGGCCTCTCTCCTGTTCTAAACCCAGGACGAAAGCCTTATCTCATTGAAGTTCTCTGACATTTTGCTCCTTCTTGATTTAATGGACCAGAGAGGATCTTTAACTCCCGGTCTACATCAGTGCAAATAAAGGTTAAATCTCTCACTAACCATCATGAACTAGTCTAATAACTCACGAGAGGCTCTGGAAAAAGAAACCAAGAAAGCAGGTGTGCAGGCGTGATTAAAACATGCAAAACCGGCATGACTGCGGGCAAACGTTCCGTAATCTTCCCGTCCCCAAAAGCCTGCTGCAAGCTCCGCAAGCAAGGAAACTTCCCCTGCGCCAAAACCCGGATCCCAGAAGCCAGGCCTACAATCCAGGGGCCGTTCTGCTGCCGGGAGTCCCGACCCGAGCTTGCGCTGAAGGCCAGGGCTCCCATTGGCCACACGCCGTGGGGGAGGAGGAGACTGCGCCGAGCGGGAGGAGGGGAGGCCCGGGCCTGTCCCTGCCCCCTCCGGCCCCTCCGCCTCGTGCGTGGTTACTATGCAAATTGCAGCGATTGCGGAAATAAACAAGGGGGTAGGGAGAGGAAAGAGGGGCTGCCGAAAGGATCGCAACTTCTGCAAAGTCTCTTACAAGCACACCAGGCAAATCCAGAGAGAATCTGAGAAGCAGCCAGCCCGGGTTAGATTGGATCGCTTTCAGAGAGGAGAGCGAGAAAAAGAGAGAGAGAGAGAGAGAGACCGCGAGAGAGGGAGAGATTGTGTGAGAGAAAGAGAGAGAGAGAGAGAGAGAGAGAGAGAGAGAGAGAGAGAGAGAGAGAGAGAGAGAGAGATCTGCAGTGGCAGAAGCCTTTTGATTTGGAGTTAAAAAAAAAATTATCCAAGAAGCCTGCAATTGGCCAGCAGCTTTAAAAAAATCTCTTCCGGGTTTTCAACGGTTCCAAGTTTATTTAGCTATTTTTTTTTAATGCAAAAAACAGGGGACAAGCTATGAAGCAATTCGTCTGAGCATTTTAAAGTTTCTCACGTACTCTTTTTACATTGCAATGGTACGTGGTACATCTTAAACTTTCTATTTTACATTTATACTATATGCGTTATATAAACAACGGTAGAATGGTTATGCTTAATGGCTAAGACTTTTAAATTTCTCTAGCTCGAATATGCACTTAAGTGATTGCTGGGTAAATGTCTATTGTGATGGTTTTCTTTTAAAGATGCAGCTTTGTGGATGGCGTTTTTATTATGTGCAGCAGAGACCGGGTTTTTCTTTCTTTCTTTTTTTTTTCCAGGATTTGAAAAAATTGCTGAGCTTAACAGATTTTTTTTCCTCCTAGCGCTTGCTCGGTTCCAGAAAAGGGGGGAGGGGAAAGGGGGAGATCCTGTACGTGCTCTGCTCTGTTAAAGACGTTTGGCCTCTGCAGTCAACCTAACCCGAAAAGAAATGTCTGGACCCGAGAATAATTGACGATTCGATCCTCTAATCAATGAGACAACATACGAGATTGACAGAAGCTCTATCCAATCATGAGAAAGCTTGGGTATACAATGGCTCGTAATAGCCATAGGGGGCGGGACAAAGGAGATCTGAAGTTCTCTGCAGTTCTGAAGGGGATGGTGTGTGTAGTTCAAGCTGTCAAAGATACCAGCGCTTCCGGATTTAGCAATCACAAGAGGAAAGAGTTTTTGAGTTTAAAGGAGAAAAAAGCTGTTTGGGGGATTTTTGCATGAATCCTGTGTGCCTTTTAACTTTGCTCCTTTGGAAAATTCTGCTAGAGTAATATTTAAGCTTGCATTAATTGTTGTTTTTAATACTCGGAAGTTGGTAACTTGTAGAAGGAGAGGTTTAACTTCTTTGAGAAATATGCCTTAATTTGGGGAATGCACTGAGCGTTTCAAAACTTCTCACTGATTCTTTTAGAATCTTTGGCATATCAAAGGAAGAGAATGCTTCATAGGGGATGGACAGTTGTTCTGTAGATTGGAAAAGGAGGGGGGAAGGAGTGGATTTTCTTGAATTCTACTGTTTCAGATGATGGTCTGAAATGCAAAGAACATTTTAAGACCTGCCAAGTTCACATTTCTTCTTGTTACCACAACAACCCCACTGGAGGGTGCATGTGTGGAAGATAACTGACTCCCTCTTTAGCTGCAGTCTGGCCTCTTGGTCATGTCCTTGACATCTGTATGGTGGAAACCAACTGCCTTAGTTTGTCTTGGAGATGTAACTTGCATCTTCTGACTCAAATAGATCAATCACCACCTAATTCTGTAGGGAATGGATGGAAAATAATAGGGATTTCTTAGTGTGGATTTAATACTCATCCAACTACTTCCCTGGGCCTTGGGCCTTGCAGTCAAACCTGGTTTGAAAAGTTGATGTGACAATTCACTTGTATGCTCAATTCAGCAACATGATTCAATTGGGGATTATATGCAAGTAAATCTGCATGAGTTACCAGCAAGTCAAAAACTAGTGAGGAAAATGGTAGTTAATAGAGTTAGTCTTGGTAATAACTATACAGCAAATGGTATTGTCACTTAGGAATCCTAGCCCCATCTTCATTACTTTGGGCATTAAAATCTAAATCACATTAATACAATTTCCCAATTAAGTAGACTAGAAATGAGAGGTATCTCAGATGTATGTAGAAGTGAAACTTTATTGACGTAATTTATACATCTAAGAGGATTTCACTAAAGCTGGCAAGGTAACGTTTCTGCAAATAAAACAGTAAATGCAAGGCTGGGCTCCGTGCCAGGGAGAATATGGATAGCAGAGAGCATGGCAGGAACCTCCGTTTTGCAAAGACAATCCAGTTTCAAGGCAGCCTCCTACCACTTGCAAAATAAACGATTGGAGTAATGTTTCCAATAAGGGGTTTACCCTTCCTAACAATGGGTCATTTATATGATTGCAATAAACTAGTTTTCATGTATCACCTGTGTTTCCTACCCCCTCTTTTCCCTTCTCGTTGCCCCTCCCTTTCCTCCCCCTTCTTTCCCTGTCCTTCCTTCCTCTCCCTCCCTTAGTATCTTTGTGAACTCTAGACAAGGATTTACTTTTGCAACCTAGAAGAGGGGAGAAAGTTAGAAATGCTTTTTACCCTGCCTGTCCTCTTCAGGAACATCTGTTTCTTTGTGTGTTTAAATTTATGCCTGTTGGAGAGAAAGTTACCAGAAGCCATTCTGTAACTGTAACTCTTCTACGGTATTTTTCTCAGTCTAGTTTGTAAGGGCTGTAGTTGGAACTGGGCTTTGTAGTGTTCCCCCGCCTTCCACCCTCCTCCGGAGCGGGGGAGGGAGCGGGAGCTGGCACAGATAGGAGAGAAAGCAGGAGCGGATGTGGAGGGCTTTGGTGCTGAACTTGGATCCAGCCCTTGCCTAGAGGGCGCAAACAATCGTCCCATATCCAAAAGTCTTACGAAGGGCGCCAAAAGTTACTTAAGATAATATTGCTAACCGCAGAATGCTGGAAATCGCGGGCACATCCACCGCTGCAACAAAAGAAGTTTCTAAAGTGGAAATATCAGCATTCAATTACTTTCCCCCATTTAAAAAAAGAAGGCACGGCGAAAGTCATTTATTTTTTTTTTTTAAAAAATTCCCCTTGAGAATCAAAAGTAAGAATCTTTGCTGTTCTGAAAAGACACATGTCAAGTGTATCTTTATATAAATAATAATAATAATAATAATAAACAATCCGCTTTGGAAGAGAGTTTCCCCAGAGCACACACAGGACAATAACTTGTCACTGTGCCTCAGTTACATGTTGGGTCCCTCAGCCAGAAACTTCTGTCGAGGAAACTTGGAGAGTCTTGAAGTTATAGATCCCAGTAAAGGTTTTCATGGCCAGGAATGTTTCTCTAACTCCTCTTAGCTTGGAGGACATTTCTTCCTTACTGAAAGACATGAGGAACCAAGGAAAGGTAGTTGCTTAGTTTGGCGAAATGGACGTCCTACCTAAGGCTGAAGTTATTCTTTTCCTTCAATCCTTAATAAGTAATGGGACAGGTTTCCAAGAACATTCAAGGGCAGAAAGAGGGTGAGAAAGAATGGGTTCTCGAGTTGGGGCAAATACTGTAGTCCCAACCGGACTAGAGAATAAACAAAACTTTTGAGATGCGGGCTGTTGCAGAACGCTTTAGTTGGCCTTCTCTAGTAGCATTTGCCCCTCCCCGCCCCCCGAAAAAAATTCTGAATGAAAAATGCCCATACTCCATCAGTGACCCTTCTGTCCGGTAGGTAGGCATGCCTGCAGACTCTAGCCCTGTTACCTCCACCAGGGAGCAGATCCCTGCTCTGTGTGCCAGTGTCTGTCGGGATCTGGGGATTTCTGAGAAGGGTTGGTAAATACAGAAGGCTGCAAAACTTTAGGAAGGAGAAGAGGAGAAAATGAGAGTTTGGAGGTGACAGGTATACTTTCTTTTCCCCCTTCAAAAGAAAAGAGTCTAAAGAGAAAACATGAAGTTAAAAAAAGAAAAAGAAAAAAAGAAAGCTGGAAGAGCAGGCTTGTTGGCAAGGTGCCAAACCCTAAAACCGCCCCCCCCCCGCGCGCGCCAAAACAATACTTTAGCAAACCTAAAATAATTGCAGGAAGCTCTTTTCCATTTTCAGAAATACTACCTGGGGGGCGGGGAGTGGGGATCCGCAAAACGCACCCTTCTCGAGGGTGTCTGGGGAACGCGGACTCGGATGTTAGACCATGTCCAGTTCTGGGCTCTCATTTGGGGATACAAACATATCCTTTTCCAAAGGGGACAACCCTTTCACAGTTCCTTCTCGACACACAGAAAGATGTCCCAGCTAAACCACTGTTGTTTCTGACATGACAGAACTTTTTTGGGCGTTTGTATTCAAGCCCACCAGCTCCCGACTTCTAGGAGGGAAGAGCGGCCACTCATGACTCGCCGCCTTCCTTTCTTTAGACCCCCCTCCCCGCAATCTGGGCAATCTTTGGGGTGACCTTACTGTTCCCCAGCACCCGGGTTCTGACTGCTCTAGGGCCGTGGCTGCACAAAGTTAGCAGGCTTTTGTGCATAATTACCTCTGCCGAGGACACTGTTCCCACAGAAAGCTTCGCAGGAGAGATTACAATGCTTTGAGCTTTACCGCATTTCAGAGGAAGGGGGGAAAAGTTACCTAGAAGGTCTGATTTTTTTTTTAGAAGAAATTTGCATACATGCAAATGTACCGCGCGCCCTTCTCTGGGGCTTCTAGGGAGCCCACCCAGCGGCCCACGGGGGTACGGGGCGTCCTGGCAAAGTTGCCCCAATCCTCCACCGACGTCCGCGGAGGGCTGCGGCGCGGGTGGGGGGATGGGGAGGAGGAAAAGTAGTTTTGTTTGCTTAAGCACATCCTGTGGCAGCCTATAGCCGCCGGGAGGACACGCTGAAAACCGCTCCGCGCCGCGTTCCCGGGACCGCGCCGAGCGGGGCGGGGGCGGGGGCCGCGGGAGGCAGCGAGCGCGGAGCA